ATATGGGATATATATATATATTAATATATGAAACCGATACATCAAATATATTAAGCTTTTTTAAACATCGTAATTGCATTATTAAATTAGTAGATACTTATATTGAAAAATATTTATAGGATAACCATCATATCATTGGGAATTAGGTTTTTCTCGGTTGTAGCCTGTTTGCTCCATCGCTCTCCATCTCTCGTTTTCATATTAATACACAGAAGAGTTTTTTTTTGTTTGCAAAGTTTTTTAATCTATGGAGTGTACAAGCCTTCCGGTGGATTTGGTAGAGGACATACTCTCTAGGATTCCAGTGAAATCTGTAGCACGATTGCGATCAACATCGAAACAATGGAAAGCTCTATTGAAATCCCGGAGCTTTGCTAAGAAACACTCTGCTAATGCACCAAAGGAGAAGTCTCTGATTATCATGTTGATGGATCTTAGGGTTTATTTGGTGAGTGTTGATCTACGTAGAATCCACGACAACAAGGTTGATCCATCGTTTAAAGTAGGAGCTCAATTCTACCTTAAAGATCCTCTTTCTAATTCTTCCTCACAAGTCGATATACGTAACATATTTCACTGCGACGGCTCATTGTTATGCACCACCAAAGACCGTAGACTTGTGCTTTGGAATCCATGTTCCGGGGATACCAAGTGGATTAAACCTAGAGACAGCTACAAGGAATCAGACTACTATGCTCTCGGTTACAACGACAAGAATTCCTCCTGCAAGCAATACAAAATCTTGAGGGTGGATCGTCAAGATATATTACCAATCAAAAATGAGTACGAGATTTATGACTTTACCTCTAACTCGTGGAGAGATATTGGTGTGGCTACTGATTGGTTTTTACCACGCTATCGTCGTGGCATATCTGTGAAGGGAAATACTTATTGGGTTGCTATTCAATCAGGGACGCCACATGCTGAGTTTTTACTAAGTTTTGATTTTTCAACAGAGAGGTTTGAAACCTTTTGAGAATGCGTCTTTATCAGTGGTTGGAGAAGAGCAGCTTTGTCTGTTAGGTACTGGTCTCAAATTTTGGATCATGGGACATCCTGGCCTCAGTAGTTTCCAAGTATGGGTGGGAACTAGAACCGGATCAGCCATGTCATGGAGCAAGTCACTATTAGTGAAACGAGCCTACAAACATTACAAGTTTTCTGATGGGATGAGTTTTTTGGCAGACGAGCAGAACCAAGTTGTAATGTATATGAGCCCCGACAACATCTTACACATTGTGAGCGAAACGAAACACATACGAGACGATAACCACGTTGGAGATTCTACATGCATATCATCTTGCTCAGTTCTTCTCAATTATGCTCCAAGTCTGGCTCAAATCCAACAAGGTTGTCTTCCTGGAGGAAACAAAAGGAAAGCACCTAGCATGTGACTTGTAATTTGTCAGACTAATCTATGCATTATCTATTTGATTATCCAAGTCCTTTTTCTTGTTTTTCTTTTGGCAACAACTTTCATGTCGTTTATATTTAAGTTTTTCTGGTTTGTGTACGATTTCTTTTTCGTTTTTTTCGGTTGCTTTATAAATTTACGGTTTCCATATATCTACAACTATTTTTAGATTCAAGTCAATAATTCTAGTTATATTATTTTTTATCAAATGTTATTTGAAGAAATCATATATTTGTTCTAATGGTGTTAGTGTACCACCATCCGATTTTACGTACACGCATATTTTACATTGACATAGAATTATTGAAATTGATGATTTTGTCTCTACTTTCACGATGCCATAAGTTCTATATTTTTTAAGGATATTTTTCATTTTTGTTCTAAAAGAACTTTGACAATCGTATATGCAATATTATATAGTACTTATTATCACTGAAAATATATTAAGTTTTTCTTTCTCGGCTCAATTTTAAAATAGGAAACCGATACATCATAATTGGGAGTTAGGTCTTTCTCGTTTGTAGCTGGCTCCATCGTTCTCCTTTCTCTCGATTCCATAGACTCTTTTCCTTAATCTGCAAAGTAATTTAATCTATGGACTGGACAAGTTTTCCGGAGGATGTGGTGGAGGAGATACTCTCTTGGGTTCCGGCTAAATCGGTAGCACAGTGGCGATCAACATCCAAACCATGGAACGCTCTGTTGAAATCTAGGATATTTGCTCAGAAGCACTCTGCTAATGCACCAAAGGAGAAGTCTCTTGTTATCACGTTGCTGGATTCTAGGGTTTGCTTAGTAAATTTCAAATTCCGTGGAATCCACGCCAACGAGGTTGTTCCATCTGTTGAGGTAGCATATACCTTCAACCTTACCCATGGCCTTTCTGATACTTCGCAAGTCGGTATAATCAACATCTTTCACTGTGACGGCTTATTGCTATGCACCACCATAGACAACAAACTCGTGGTTTGGAATCCATGTTCTGGGGACACCAAGTGGATTAAACCTAGAGACAGCTACAAGACATCCGACTACTATGCTCTCGGTTACGACGACAAGTCCTCCCGCAAACAATACAAAATCTTGAGGGTGGGTCGTCAAGATATGTTACCAATCAAGAATGAGTACGAGATTTATGACTTGGCTTCTGATTCGTGGAGAGTTCTTGGTGTGGCTACTGATTGGTTTTTAGCATCACATCGTCGTGGCATATCTGTGAAGGGGATTACTTATTGGGTTGCAACAAGAAGGTTAAAGGTTAACTTCTTACTAAGTTTTGATTTTTCAACAGAGAGATTTCAAAGTCGGCCTCTTCCTCATCCTTTTCCTTATTCGAATGCGTCTTTATCAGTAGTTGGAGAAGAGCAGCTTTGTCTTGTAGGTGCTGATCGCCAATACTGTATGAAGGGAATTTACGTACGCACAGAGTTCCAAGTATGGGTGTCAACTAGTACCGGATGGAGCAAGTCACTCGAAGTGAAAGGCCATAATGATAATAAGTTGTCTGATGGGATGGTGGGTTTTTGGGCATACGAGCAGAACCAAGTTGTAATGTCTGTGAGCTCCACTAACCACATCCATCACATTGTGATCGAAAATAAACACATACAAGTCGATAATCTTGGTGGAGATTCTACATGCATACCATCGTGCTCAGTTCTTCTGAATTTTGTTCCAACTCTAGCTCAAGTATCCAACAAGGTTAATTATCTTCCTGGAGGACGCAAAAGGAAAGCACCATGCACGTGACGTGACTTGTAATTTGTCACACTAATCATATATAGGTTAGTGATTAGTGTGACAAATTACAAGTCACGTCACGTGCATGGTGCTTTCCTTTTGCGTCCTCCAGGAAGATAATTAACCTTGTTGGATACTTGAGCTAGAGTTGGAACAAAATTCAGAAGAACTGAGCACGATGGTATGCATGTAGAATCTCCACCAAGATTATCGACTTGTATGTGTTTATTTTCGATCACAATGTGATGGATGTGGTTAGTGGAGCTCACAGACATTACAACTTGGTTCTGCTCGTATGCCCAAAAACCCACCATCCCATCAGACAACTTATTATCATTATGGCCTTTCACTTCGAGTGACTTGCTCCATCCGGTACTAGTTGACACCCATACTTGGAACTCTGTGCGTACGTAAATTCCCTTCATACAGTATTGGCGATCAGCACCTACAAGACAAAGCTGCTCTTCTCCAACTACTGATAAAGACGCATTCGAATAAGGAAAAGGATGAGGAAGAGGCCGACTTTGAAATCTCTCTGTTGAAAAATCAAAACTTAGTAAGAAGTTAACCTTTAACCTTCTTGTTGCAACCCAATAAGTAATCCCCTTCACAGATATGCCACGACGATGTGATGCTAAAAACCAATCAGTAGCCACACCAAGAACTCTCCACGAATCAGAAGCCAAGTCATAAATCTCGTACTCATTCTTGATTGGTAACATATCTTGACGACCCACCCTCAAGATTTTGTATTGTTTGCGGGAGGACTTGTCGTCGTAACCGAGAGCATAGTAGTCGGATGTCTTGTAGCTGTCTCTAGGTTTAATCCACTTGGTGTCCCCAGAACATGGATTCCAAACCACGAGTTTGTTGTCTATGGTGGTGCATAGCAATAAGCCGTCACAGTGAAAGATGTTGATTATACCGACTTGCGAAGTATCAGAAAGGCCATGGGTAAGGTTGAAGGTATATGCTACCTCAACAGATGGAACAACCTCGTTGGCGTGGATTCCACGGAATTTGAAATTTACTAAGCAAACCCTAGAATCCAGCAACGTGATAACAAGAGACTTCTCCTTTGGTGCATTAGCAGAGTGCTTCTGAGCAAATATCCTAGATTTCAACAGAGCGTTCCATGGTTTGGATGTTGATCGCCACTGTGCTACCGATTTAGCCGGAACCCAAGAGAGTATCTCCTCCACCACATCCTCCGGAAAACTTGTCCAGTCCATAGATTAAATTACTTTGCAGATTAAGGAAAAGAGTCTATGGAATCGAGAGAAAGGAGAACGATGGAGCCAGCTACAAACGAGAAAGACCTAACTCCCAATTATGATGTATCGGTTTCCTATTTTAAAATTGAGCCGAGAAAGAAAAACTTAATATATTTTCAGTGATAATAAGTACTATATAATATTGCATATACGATTGTCAAAGTTCTTTTAGAACAAAAATGAAAAATATCCTTAAAAAATATAGAACTTATGGCATCGTGAAAGTAGAGACAAAATCATCAATTTCAATAATTCTATGTCAATGTAAAATATGCGTGTACGTAAAATCGGATGGTGGTACACTAACACCATTAGAACAAATATATGATTTCTTCAAATAACATTTGATAAAAAATAATATAACTAGAATTATTGACTTGAATCTAAAAATAGTTGTAGATATATGGAAACCGTAAATTTATAAAGCAACCGAAAAAAACGAAAAAGAAATCGTACACAAACCAGAAAAACTTAAATATAAACGACATGAAAGTTGTTGCCAAAAGAAAAACAAGAAAAAGGACTTGGATAATCAAATAGATAATGCATAGATTAGTCTGACAAATTACAAGTCACATGCTAGGTGCTTTCCTTTTGTTTCCTCCAGGAAGACAACCTTGTTGGATTTGAGCCAGACTTGGAGCATAATTGAGAAGAACTGAGCAAGATGATATGCATGTAGAATCTCCAACGTGGTTATCGTCTCGTATGTGTTTCGTTTCGCTCACAATGTGTAAGATGTTGTCGGGGCTCATATACATTACAACTTGGTTCTGCTCGTCTGCCAAAAAACTCATCCCATCAGAAAACTTGTAATGTTTGTAGGCTCGTTTCACTAATAGTGACTTGCTCCATGACATGGCTGATCCGGTTCTAGTTCCCACCCATACTTGGAAACTACTGAGGCCAGGATGTCCCATGATCCAAAATTTGAGACCAGTACCTAACAGACAAAGCTGCTCTTCTCCAACCACTGATAAAGACGCATTCTCAAAAGGTTTCAAACCTCTCTGTTGAAAAATCAAAACTTAGTAAAAACTCAGCATGTGGCGTCCCTGATTGAATAGCAACCCAATAAGTATTTCCCTTCACAGATATGCCACGACGATAGCGTGGTAAAAACCAATCAGTAGCCACACCAATATCTCTCCACGAGTTAGAGGTAAAGTCATAAATCTCGTACTCATTTTTGATTGGTAATATATCTTGACGATCCACCCTCAAGATTTTGTATTGCTTGCA